AGGGCTAAGAGAAAAACGAGGCATTAGCATTTAGATGTCAAACACCGGCGAGCACACGTTTTGTTCGGTTAGGTCTGACCGCTATTTTGCGGCTGCGAAATCCAAAACTCCGTTTTTCGATATCACATCAGGTTTTGAGCTATAGGATCAAAATATATATAATAAGTGTGTCAAACTTCTACTTTTGCTCAACCTTGAATAGAAGCCGCAGTGGCCAAAGACAAACTGTGGCAGGGTTTACTTGATGGACCAGGATTTGTCCGTCCGACATGCCAGTTTTAGTTTCAATGAACATGAAAATCAAATTCAACAGATTTTTGTTTTTGTTTCAAAGAGAAATCAGTAAATTGAATGGGTGATTTCACCTGTGCTCCTTTTTACGTTGTGGTTACTTGGATTCCACGGCACAGATGAGGGAAAGGTGTCTGTCATGACAAAAATGCATCCTGTTACTACAGTTGTGTTGAGAATGATGGTGAAAAGGATAAAAACGTGTTGAAAAAAGGGGGAAGCGCACAAAAACAAAACAAAACATTTAAAGAGCTAATATCGGCTGATCAAATGGCATCGCATTTTACCTGCATGTGTGGAGTTTGGAGGAGAGGGATCAGGTGACTTGTCTAGGGAGAAAACAAAACATATCAGCAAAATAACATATCCCAATGTTTCAAATGAACACGTGAGGTATACCTGCTGTGTATTTGCAGATGAAATTGTGCTTGGTTTCACAGTTGTCGTCATTCCATTGGAACATGTAGAGACCTCCCAGCCCCGGTGGAGCGGACGGCTGATGATACATCACCACGCACACCTCGTAGCCGCATGATGGCTCATCCCAGTGCCAATTTCTGCACGCACGCACGCGCATGTACACAGAGCCGCTGTCATTTATCTCAAAACTGCCTCCGCCCTCCTATTTATTGGGCTCACTTAGATAAAAACCAATGCAGCCTTGCAATAAATCTTCTCTTGCCGGGGTTATAATGTTCACTTTTACTGTAATTGTTTAAGAGAGAGCTATTGATCTTATTCAATGGCCATTTTGGGAGCTGTCATTTTGAAGGAGTGTCATACCATCATCGGATATATACTGAGAAGTATATTTAAAACGAAAAATTGCAATTCCATTAAATGCCGTACGTGAACGCTGGTAGAAGAGAAATGAATTGAAGACCAGGGACTACATCCGAGCAGTTCGATACGCCGGAATGGGGACGGTGACCTTCTCGTAAATCTATGACATCATCATTGTGTTCCTGTCTTGTAGAAAAACCGTCAGACTTTACCCTTAACCACAAAGCAAAATCACAATTTTTAATTTTTTTTTTTTTTTTTTTTTACACCAGATACCCTTCCTGACACAAGCCACATATTTTTATTCGGGTTTGGAATCGGCAGTGGCCAATCTATTGGGTCAAAAGAATTAACCCAACCATGGGTAAAAGTAATTAGTAAAACCAATCTGCTGAAAATCCACAACTACCCAGCAAGTGGTTCGGGAAAACAACCCAGCATTTTTTAAATGTGTGCAGTGCATCTAAATGTGAATTTAAAGCCAATTCATTTTTAAATTCCTAATTAGGGTCGCAGGTAAAATGAATCTTATCCCAGATTACTTTTGGAGAAGAGAAGCACTCCAAGTTTTCTTCCAAAGGCCACTTTGGCATTCTTCACCTTTAATTTACTTAACACACTAAAACCAATCCATTAATGTCTGTGAAGATCCATCCTTCCGTTTTCTATGCCACTTATCCGCTTCAGGCTTGGTGACACTGAAAATGCTTGGCGGATGGCTGCCCTAAACATGACCCACCTAAATGTAGACTTTGTGCCGTCCAACCAGTGGTACTGCGACGGCCCGTCCCCGCTGCCGCCGCTGCTGTCCTCATCTCCGTGGTTACGCCGCAGCCCGATCCAGAAGTCTCCATCGGTGGGCCTCAGATCCGTGATGAGTTGCTCGATGATCTTCTGCTCGGACGCCGACTCTACGCTGAGAAGCTGGCCGCCATCCCGGCGGCATGCCAGGTCGGCCTCCCCGAAATTCAGCCTTCGCCGCAGCTCGGAGAAATAGGCCAGCTTGTAACACGGCCTGCCGTTACCCGCCTTGCACAGACGCTGACCTGCAAAGACGGGTACATGTGTGAATTCAAAGTGCATATTAGGTCCCCATGAGGTACCCTGAATTGGAATTATGACTAGTCGGAATCACCGATTTATAAAATTCCTTTTCAGATAATACTGTATTTTAACTCTCTGTAAGCATTGGTGGTTCAGTGGTATGATTCTCATTGGACCCGCATTTGATTCATGGTTAATGCAACTGTAAAAATTTGGAGAGTGTGTTGCCCTGGAGCAAGATGGTAATACCCGGATGCTTAGGTAGCACTACTTTATGGGTCAAATTTTGGGGTGACATGACAAGTAACACACTGTATGTCCCCATTCATGAGCTCTCTGGATCGTTTTATCAAAACGGGTGTCGTTTTACATTGAGTTTGACTCAGTTCGGCAATTAAGTTCATGCTCATATGCTTGTAGGACAGTTAAGAATGGTAAAATGTTAAAGAAAAAAACATGAATCGTAGAGTTTTTTCCGTTTTGATGATGGGAACTTGTCATGATTTTGATTTATTTATCTATTTTAGTCAAGTGACTGAGATGTCAACCGGCGCCATAGAATGCATTGTGTCCTCTGTTAACGGATGTAGTTTGCATCTTACTTAGGTTCAAAATATTAGAAACAGCCCCCTTATGATGCACTACACCACTGCAAACAATCACCACAATGAGAAATATGTTGTTAAATTGAAGGCACTTGTCAGTCCAACCTGTGCATTCTTATCCTTGCAAATTCGGCATATTCGATATATCATCGACACAACGTCTGTTTCATGAAGTGTCCAGTTAAGTGTGTCCACATCCACAAATTTTAGGCTGCTTACCTCGAG